TGGCACCATTTGGCAGAGGTACTGAGGTTGGCCCAGGATCGGACATTGTTTCGTTCTGCTGTGCATGGGGTCGCTATGAGTCGGTTCCGACTCGATGGTACCTGACAACAACAACATCATGACCGTTCTTAGCACTGACCCACAGTCAGTGCCTTGTAATTGTTTGTTGGTGAATGAAAAAGAAAAGGTAGTTTTAGATAGGATGTGATGACTCAATTTTGGGTTTTGTTGAAGTTCACGGGCCAAAAAAAAAAAAAAAAACCAGACAAGAAGCTGATAACCTAACTCTTGAATTTAGGACTAAAATGTTAAATGAGGATTCCATCTGTATGACAATGGTAGCTGAAACCCATAGTGTGAAATTCAGAGTAGAGATAAAAATGAGCGAAGAGAGCCTATGTATGATAGAATTCTGAGGGACTTTTCAAGGTCAGAATGAAGAATTAACCTTTGAACATCACATACAAAAATATAGCTAATTTATATAGAAATTTGGAATTACCCAGGAATTTTCTTTAACTTTTGATAGTTTTATTGAAGTATAATTGTTATACAATTCACCCATGCCAGTATGCTTTTTCTTGATCGGTTGTTTAAAGGCAATTCACTTTTGAATGTGTCTGCACTGGAGAATTTTAATTTGATGTCAGTGAGAAAATATTTAGGAGGATCAATTATATTAGCAAAAATGCACAACAAATGGAAAGGCAAAAACAAAACACTCTTATTGCTTCCAGACAGAAAACAAATGCTCCTGAAAAATATAAGCCAAATTATCTGCAAACATTTATAAATGCAATTATTTTACAAAGTAAATTATTGTGCCTACAGGTTGTTTATTATAGTATTTCTTATATTAGCAAAGGATGGAAAACAAAACTAACCTGTTGAGGATAGTTAAATAAGTTATGGCACATCTACACATAAGAAGCCCTTATAGCTAAAACAAATTGAGTACATCCTTTACGTATTTATAGGGAAAGACCTCTAGGATTGAGGGCATATCTGGAGGTGATATCTTATTTGTTCATATTTGCATAAAGAAACAATGGAAAAATAATAAGACATGAGTAAAAGTAGTCACCAAAAAGGTGGTTGTTGTTAAATGCTGTCTAGGTGGTTCTGACTTGCAGGACCCTATACAGAGTTTCTAAGGATCAACTAATGGGTTTGAACCACTGACCTTACAGTTTAAACAGAATCCAGTGCTTATCCTATAGAGCCACACCAGGACTCCACAAATAAGGTTATTGTTGTTAGGTGCCACTAAGTCAATTCCAACTCAGAATGACCTTGTATAGGGTTTCCAAGGACCATCTGGTGGAATTGAACCTCTGACCTTGTGGTTTGCAGTCCAGTGCTTATCCTACAGCATCACACCAGAAGTCCACAAGTAAGGTGCTGGTAGTGGTTGTGTGTCACCAAATTGGTTCTGACTCATAGTGACCCTGTATAGAGTTTCCAAGGCTCTAAATCTTTATAGGAGTAGAAAGCCTCATCTTTCTCCTTTGGAGTGGCTGGTAGATTTGAACTGCTAATAGTTAAAGTTTTGTGTCAACTTGACTGGGTCAGGATTCTCAGTGGCTTGGCAGTTGAGATGTAGCTATCCCCCATGATGTGATAAACTAATAAGATTAAGGGTGGGATTGTAGTTGTTGTTGTTGTTAAGTGCTATCTAGTCAGTTCTGAATCATAGCAACACTGTATAGGGTTTCTGAGGAGCAGTCGGTGGGTTTGAACTACCAACCTTCACCTCCCTGATCTGAGGGAGATTTCCAAGGGTGTGACATGCATCACCTTTTATAAGAGATAAAAGGAGAAAGACTTGAGCAAAGGAGGGACCTATTACCACCAACCCAGAAGGGCTGAGAGTGGATTGTGTTCTTTGGCCCTGGGGTCTCTGCACCGTGAAGGGAACGAAGGAGGCCAAGATGTATGGAGAGCTCCAAGGAATGTTTGACCTCCAGATGCTGAAAGGAGACAAGGGCCTTTCCCCAAAGCTGACAAAAAGGAAGCCTCCCCGAGAACTGACACTCGGAATTTCTACTTCTAGGCTCGTAAACTGTGAGAATAGGATAAACACTAGACTGTGCACCACTAGGTCTGCATTTCAAACTCACCAGTTGCTCCTTGGAAACCTTACATAGGGTCACTATGTGTTGGATATTTACAACAACAACAACAATAAACTGTGAGGATAGATTTCTGGTTGTTAACATCATTCACTTGTGATATTTCTGTCATGGTAGCACTAGATAACTAAGACGGTAAGTAAGAGAGTAGACACGGTAGATGGGAAAAGGGGAAACTAGTCTTCATTGGATACTGTTTTATAGTATTTTAGAATTTTGTACAATATTAATATATTGCATATTAAAAGTAAGTAAATATCATCATATAATAAATTAGTTTCAGTATATTCATGGGCATAAAATAGCCTCTTTGTATTCCATAGATTTGTCTGGAAAAACGGATTTGGAACAATGTCAAGTTGATGCTATCGTGGACACACTGGATGACTTCATGTCACGTTTTCCATGGGCAGAGAAAAAGAAAGATGTAAAAGTAATGTGATCAGTTTGCTATAATTATGATTAATCTTATGTCACTTTTGAAGCAGTGTGTTGTTTGGTGCCATGGAGTCAGTTCTGACTCACTGCAACCCTGTGTCCTACAGACAGAAACACTGCCCAATCCTGCCCCATCCTCCCAATACCACTTACTCTCAGGTATTCCTTCTTGCACTGGACACAGGCCCTAGAGAGGTGTGGCTGCTAGTGTTCTGGGAGAGAAATGGGGACTAGAGTGCTGTGAGTCTCAGAATTTAGCATTAAATATGCATAGGTATAATCTTCCTGTATGTAATACAGTATGTGGGAAACCCCCAGCCTAGGCACCATCTGTCTCATACCCTCTCGAGCCTTTTACAGAGTATCTGGGTGGTTGGTTCAAATGGTTAAGTGCTTAACCACTAACCATAATGTTGGCAGTTAGAACTCACCTAGAGACATGTTGGAAGACAGACCTGAGAACCAGTTTTAGAAAGATCACTGCTTTAAACTCTATGGAGTAGTTTTACTCTGCACACCTAGGTCGCAGTGGATGGGAATCAGATGACGATGTTCTTCTGTTAAGAAAGTGGAAAAGGCAGGTATCTAACTACATGAATAGAAGGAGGAAATCTCAAGTTAAACCTACTTCCTCTAACAGTATCCCACTAGTCTTCCTTTTTATACCACTGCCTCACGCCCCCTTAACCTCCCTGCCAGATGACCATATACTGCCATTTCCTGAGCTTTTTGAAGATATTATATGGAGACAGGTTCGTTTCTCAACTTTCTTTTGCCCATATCATTCATTAATCTACTCACCACTGTGAGGTTTTATTTTTTCTTCTTTCCTCCCATTTTCCTTCTCTTATGGTTCCATCTTTTAAAAAGCATTCATTTACTGCCATTTTGAGGTGAAAAGAAAATTATATTAGTGTCACACCCACCATCTTTATTCAGAATTCTAAACTAAACTTCTCTATTATTCATGTTATTCTCTATTACGGCACCCCAGGCATTTATGCATTTATACTTTCAGCTGTGGTTCTGTAGGGTAAGCACCAGACTACTAACCACAAGCTTGGTCATTTAAACCCATCAGCTGCTACTTGGGAAAAAGATGAAGCTTTCTGCCCACATAAAAGTTTACAGTCTTGGGACCCCTTTACAGGGTTATTAAGAGTTGGAACAACTAGACGACACTTAACAACACAAGCGAACTGTAGGGTATTTATCGCAATCTATATTTTGTTATAAAATATATTTACTTACTTGTTCTCTGTCTCCTCCTGTAGACTATTTCATCAGGGCAGAAATCCATGTCTTTATTATTCATTGGTGCATCCCAACACTTCTCTAGTGCTTTACATCCCAAACCAAACCCACTGTCAGTGAGTTGATTCTGACAAACAGTGACCCTATAGGACAGGGCAGAACTTTCACATCAACTTTCCAAAGCTGTAATAGTTAAGTAAGCAGACTGTCATATCTTTCTCCCATAGAGTAAGATATGGTGGGTTCCAATAGATTTTTTGACTGGTAGCCGAGCATTTATCTACTGCACGCTCACCGTGTCCTACTTTTTACATACCACCTATGCCTCAAGTCAATTCTGACTCATAGCTACCCTATATAGGATTTCTAAGGCTGTAAATATTTACAGGAGCAGACAGCCTTTTCTTTCTCCCATGAAGCAGTTTGTGGATTTGAACTACTGACCTGTGGATAGTAGCTCAACTTGTAACCCACTAACCATGAAGGCTCCTTCACCTTTTACATATTTGTTATTCTTGTTATACTTGTTGTTGAGTGCCTTTGAGTTGGTTCCCACTCTTAGACACTGAATTCTTAATGAATGAAAGATTAAAAAACTTAAAAAGAAAACCCTGTCATCAAACCAGTTCTGACTCGTAGCAACCCTATATGGCAGAGTACAACCTCTCCTTAGGATTTGCAAGATGGTAAATATGGGATTAGACAGCCTTGTTTTTTTCCCTACTGATGTTCTTGTTGTTAAGTGCTGCAGAGTCGATTCCAACCCATAGTGACCCTGTAGAGGGTTTCCAAGGAGCAGCTGGTGAGCTTGAACCACTGGTCTTGCAGTTCAAATGACTTTGCAATCTGATGCATTAGCCCACAGTGCCACACCAGGATAGAGAGAGCTAAATTCACCAAAAACTCACCCTGCTATACCAAGTGCTGTGTTGTTGGTAAGTGCCATTGAGTCAGTTTCGACTCATAGCAACTCTGTATAGGATTTCAAAGGGGCAACTGGTAGGTTTGAACCCCTGATTTTGGAGTTAGCAGTCCTGTGCGTATCCTACAGTGCCACTACACTGTTTAAGTACATTATTTCCGTCAGTCCTCACAACCATCCCATGAGATATGTGATTTTCATTGCCATGGTCAGGAGATGAAACATACGTAGAGAGGTTATAGAGTTGCCCAAGTCTTATAACACGTAATGACAGAATTATGATCTGAGCCCAGACAGCCTGGCTCCAGAGTCTACAGCTCATCACCTTATCGTATTATCTCTTAAATGAGTGACTAATGCCCACAGCATCCCTTTAGGAAGAAATTATTGTTGCCTTCATTTTCCAGAATGAGGGAATTGAGGTTCATGGTGTGTACGTAACATGCCGAAGGGTGTTTAGCTGGTTAGTGGTGGACCAGAGATTCGAATTCCAGTCTCTCTGACTCAGATCTCATGCTTTTGACAAAACAATGTGGTCAATGACAGCAGCTGCTCAAAATAGCTCAATGCATGAATATTTATGTATGTATGTGTTATAGCTAGAGGCCAATTCCTAAGAGCTATAGCACAATGGCAGCCTTACCAATGTACTCTGAGTTTATGTATTCTAAATATTATGTATTTAATTAAGACCTTCAGATTAGGATTACTATAGAGATATTTGTTCATAGAAGTATTTTCTAGTCACTGACTGCTTGATGTAAATGTGAGATTTGTAAGGGATGGAGACACACATCTATACATGCAAAAACTAGGACAAAGTCTTACTAAAAGCTTATCTTTTGTGATAGAAATATAACAAGTCTTCTTGACATGAACGTATTTGGGCTCTGGACTCAGACTGTGAGGCTTGAATCCTAATTCCTTTCTTAGCAGCTGTCACTTAACTCTGTAGCTCAAATTCGTTATCTTAAAATAGGAGATATAATAGTACTGCTTTGAAGTACATTGTGAGGACTAAATGTAAGCATATGGACTTGTGGCTAGTTGGGTCAATAAATGCCATATGTTCTTATACATGTAGAGACAAATAGATACACAGATTTCAATCTAGGAAAAGTATCTAAAGTTTTTTGTCCCACTTGCCAAAGATCCCACTTCCATCTTTGGAAATCTATCAAGTTATGAGTTTTTGTCTTCTGTATTTTCTTCTATTTTATGGCTTAAGCTCAGTATCAAACATCAGTTCCCAGAGGAAAATATTCTCTGAATTTTTATGATAAGAGTAATACCCTTTTTACTTTTAATTAAAATAACATGTCACCTAACTCAAAGAACAATTGCAATCTAAATTTATGAATGAATCACATAAAGGGTGGACATGTTGCAGAAATATTGTTGATCTTTATGATAAATTGCTGGTGATAAACTAAGGCTTGTTTAGTATATAGTGAAAAATGAGTAAGTCTTTAGTCTTTCAGCTCCTATTGTTTCTCTAGTGGGTTACATTACTGCCACCTTGTGGTCAAATACAGCTTTAAAATCGAATTCAAAGCAGAATACTAATGCAGTTAGATGGATTGTAAAAATATTATCATGCATTCTTTAAAAGTCTATCAAATATATTAATTGCAGATGTTTAAGTACCTGTTTCTCCTTTTAAATGATTTGTAATTATGCCTTTCTCTCTAATTAAATTAATTGGAAATGTTTCTCCATTTCCAATTTTAGAAAATTAAACAAAGGACAAGTATGCCTGTGACATTAGTTGCCTTGGCCGGCCTTGATCTTGTCACGGTGTTACTTTGGTTTCAGTGTATCTCTGTTTCCATTTCCTCTTCTGAAAATGAGGTAGGGATGCTGAGTGAGCAAGATTGCAGGACTTCTAATGGCCCTGCATCAAAACTCAATGATTTTGGTAATGTAGATTTTAAAATACTGCTTTGGAGAAATATTTAAATCTCTCCATGGCTCCTAGAAATCATTCATTAGATGACTTATCAGGACAAGAAGTGCCTGTTTTACTACTTTCTGAATGGGAAGGCAGGACATTTCTGAGTCCACCTTGCATAAGAATATTTGTCTAGGAATTATCAGGAAATGAAAGTATACATATGGAAAAAATATGTATCATCAAAATTCATTTGCTTTCTCTCATTTTAGTGAGTTTCCTGTCAAGTTAATCTTTGTTGTTAGTTGTGATTGCTTTGGTTCTGACTTATGATGATCTCATGTATAAGAGACCTAAATGTTATCTAATTCTATGTCATCTTCATGATCACTGGCATGTTTGAGTACATTGCTGCAGCCATTGAGTAGTGCTTCCAACCTAGGAGTCTTATCCTTTAGCACCGTATGGAACTATATTCTGTTTTGATACATAGGGTTTTCACAAGGAGATCTCCACGCCTTTCCTTCTAGCCTGTTTTAGTCTGGAAACTTCCTTGAAATCTGTCCACCAGGTGGCCCTGCTAGTATTTGATATACCGGAGGCATAACTTCTGGTATTATTGTAATTTGAAAACCACAAGCTGACAGAAGAGTGCTGAAAATTAATTTTAAATAATAATAATTAGTGTTTACAAGTTCTCATTTCATGACACTAAGATGATTCATTTAATTTGTAAACTTGCACTGCAGAAGTCTATAGCACACATATAGACGTTTTACCTAGCACTGCATGTGTTGTTGTTGTTGTTAAGTGCCATCGAATCGATTCTGACCCATAGCAACCCTGTATAGGGTTTCCAAGAAGCAGCTGGTGAGCTTGAACCACTCACGTTGCAGTTCAAACAGCTTTGCAGTCTGACACATTAGCC